ACCTCCCAATAGTTCTAGGTTCAATGAAGACAAAAGGCTCGTATGAACTTGACTTGTTTTGATAATCCATGTTGAGATGGACCAATCTTTTAACATTGTTGAATTGTGTGACTATTCTATCTAAAAGCTTAGGCCATTCAGAAAAGTGATTATACTGTTTTTTTTTACTTTATAAAAAAAAAGCTACCAGAGAAGTGACACTTCTATTTATTTATATATTAGGTCTACAAGACATCACTTATGTGTGGGTCCGTTTTTTTTTTCCCTGGACCAAGCATGTGGAAATAATTTTGGTTGATGGTGCCCGTGAAACTTTAACACAGAATCTATGCCTGCTTTTGGTACCATGTCAAATTGTGTGACAACCTCATCTAAAAGCTTAAATTGTTAGTATGGAGACACTTTTTATTTACTTATACAAGTCTGCAACAAATATACTAAAATAGGCGATTTTGAATGGACAGACTGGTAGAGTACTTTGTTACAACAACCGCAACAACAACAAACCTAGTGTAATCCCACAAGGTGGGGTTTGGGGAGGGTAGTGTGTACACAGACCTTACCCCTACCTTATGAATGTAGAGAGGTTGTTTCTGATAGACCCTCGACTTTGTTGACTTAAAAAGAGGACCAATTTCGCTGAAAGTTTGATCATAATTGAAAATTTCCAGTTGTCTAAAATTGAGCTTACTCACTTCAAACAAATGCAGTTAAATGAGTTTCTTGAGGTGGTGCTCCCGTTTGTGTTTGGGCATGAAGGATTTTGCGCATATAAAATATAGGGTATAAGTATCAGCTTATCAATATCCTTTTCAGTCCTAGTGTTGGCTCAATCAGATCAACTGAAGCTCAATTGTCACGACCCCAAAATTCCACCTTAAGGATCGTGATGGCACCTAGTATCTAAAACTGGGTAAGCTGATCACTTACAACAATCAAACCAATTAAACATGATATAATGAAAATAGGGTTTAATATAAATATAGAAATAAACGTGATACAAGCCTAAGCTGCAATAATCACAACGAATTCCCCAAGACTAGGTAGTACAGAGTCACGTACTCTACTGAATACATAGAAAACTCGAAATACAACACTGTTCGGATAAGAGAATGGACAGTAATAATGTAAGCAAAGGACTCCAAGGGACTGCGACGATCAAGGAGCTCTACCTTGCTCACGATCAAGAAGCTCTCATTGCCTGAATCCGCTAGCTCCAATACCTGGATCTGCACAAAAATGTGCAAAAGTGTAGTATGAGTACACCACGGTCGGTACCCAGTAAGTATCGAGACTAACCTCGGTGGAATAGTGACGAGATTCAAGTCAAGACACTCACTAACCAAGTAACATGTACAATATATGAATATAAAGCTAACAACGGAAAACAAAGTAAATAAATGGCAACAAAGAGTAATTATGTGATAATACAACAAAATAATCAAAGCACAAATAAAATAGAAGTGAAAGCAATTAAGGGAAAACAATGACAGTTCTAACCATCAAACTGCTCCACACAAGATTTACCACGAGTCACCCCAAGGTACCACACCTCATAATCACAAATCTCAAGTTACAAATCATGAATCATATACACATGGCACCTCGTGCCCACATTATCAATCATAACTGCACGGACAACTCACGTGCTAATATCACAATCCGCTCGGCGTGGTCACGGGCTCAATATCACAATTCGCACGGCATGGTCACCCAAACCGCAGAGAAAGAAGATATACAAGAATATATGTACATGATCAATGAACATCAAGTTTCATGCTCCTGGACTGGTTTAAATGACATGTTACGGTCTATGCATATGCAAGTGAACTATCACAGGGAAACAACACAACAAACACGTAATATGCATGACACACACAAAGAAGTCAAACCACCACACAAATATCATCAATAATACGCCCCCAAGCCATCACACATCATCCCCACGTAGCGCCCCTTGTCTCGCCGCGTGCGCAACAATAAAGTATATGCCCGCCTTGTCTCGCCACACGTGCATCAACAATTATCCCACCTTGTCTTGCCACATACGCAGACCCAATATATATCTGTAGCCCACCTTGTCTTGTTGCATGTGCAATATCAATAATAACAATAGCACGGCAGAACCTCGTGCAAATATCCCGACAATCCGCTCAACAAGTCCACGTGTGCCAAATCACAACAGCACAACATACCAACAATTGTCATCAAGACATCAACTCACAAATCTGCCAACGCAGTGCACACGGACAATAAATAGGGGAAGCAGATGGGTGTTCAACATATAACATGAATTCAGCTAACCGAAATAGCAACAATTTCACAAACGCCCAATTTGGCCAATTAAGGAAATAAAATCCTGAAACATGATCTCTAACAAGGAATATGAACTCAAGTAATCATCCGCAACAGGAAACATGTAGTGTAGAGTACTCACAATCAAAACAAGGCAATAAGAGCAATCTCGGGTCATATCCGGTCAAAACCAACACATATACATCCGTGTACAAAATCATCTTATGTACATGTCGTTCACACAGTACAAATAATGCAATTAGATCAAATCCTACAGTATAGTTCCCCCCACAAGGTTAGGCAAGATACTTACCTCAAAAGCCCTCAATCAATAATCTAAAAATGCTTTTCCTCACCTCCGCTCGACTCAAATCTAATCAAAATCGACTTAATAACACCTAACGATGCAAGAGAAACCAATTTCAATTAATAAAGTTAAGATCTTTGCACAATTCCTCAAAGGGGCGATCTTCCCGGTGAAATGACCGTACCCCAAACCGACACAGGTGAACAAGTAGAGTATACTAGGGCGTTTGAGAGAACCATATCGAAGGAACTCGGCAAAGGGGTGCTCTCCTATCTTTTGATTAGGAAAGCGGTGTTAATAAAAGTCAACCCCGGGCCCGCCCGGTCAAAACCCAAGTCAAAAGGCAGATCTTGACTACCCATAGCCCCACGAGCCTGAATATGTGTTTGATTTTCAAATTTGAGTCCAATTCGACTCTCAAATCACAAATTTTCATTTTTCTAAACATAGACAAAAATACCCAAAATTTATCTTCAAATCTCATGATTTAGATGTTAAAACTCATAAATAATCACATTATATAATTAAAATTGAGTTAAAATCCCTTATCCACTGATTGTGTGTGAAAATCTCTCCTCAAAATCGCTTCCTGCCGAGTCTAGGGGCTCAAAATGTAATAAAATGAAGCTAAGTCCTGAAATATCCAGCTATAAACAAGCTGCAGATATCGCATTTGCGACTTAGGGTTCGCAAATGCAACCCTCGCAAATGCGGAATAAAGATCGCAAAAGTGACCCATGCATAATGCTGCAAACGTCGCAAAAGCAACAAAATATTCGCAATTGTGAACCCTGACCCCTTCGCAAGACCACCAGATCGCAAATGCGCAAAGCCCTAGCCCAGTGCCCCATCGCAAATGCGATAAATGAGTCTGCAAATGCGAACTCTCCGGCGCGATCAAACCTCCGCAAATGCGAGCAGACCTATGCAATTGCGAGGTCTGCAACACCAAAAACTTGAAGCAATGAACAAAACACCCAGAAACACGTCTGAAACTCACCCGAGCCCCCGGGGCTCCACAACAAATATTTACACAAGTACATAAACAAAATACAAACTCGCTCGTGTGATCAAAACACCAAGATAACATCCAAAATCACGAATCAGACACCAAAGCACATGAAAATCACAATGAAACTCAAGAACTTCTAAAAATACAACCACGCGTCCAATTCCTATCAAACCAACTCAGAATGACGCCAGACTTTGCCGACAAGTTCCAAATGACAAAATGGACCTATTCCAAGTACCGAAACCAAAATCCAAACCCGATAGCCACAAAGTCTAACCATGGTCAAACTTAGGAAAATTCCGAACCTTCAAATTGCCAACTTTCACCAAAAAGTGCCAAATCAACCTAGGAACCCCCGAATCCAATTCCGGGCATACGCCTAATGACCTGTTTGGCCAAGTTTTTTTCTTGGCAGAAAGTATTTTTTTTTTGGTCAAAAGTACTTTTCTTAAAAAAAATTGAGGTGTTTGGCCAAGCTTTTTTAAGGAAAAAAAGTACTTTTGAGCAGAAGCAGTTTCTAAGAAGCAGAAAAAAGTATCTTCTCCCCTGAAACACTTTTTTGAAAAACACTTTTGAGAAAAATACACCTAGAAGCACTTTTTAAAAGTTTGGCCAAAACACTAATTACTGCTCAAAAGTGTTTTTCAAATTGATTAGCCAAACACAAACTGATTTTCACCAAAAGTACTTTTTTGAAAAGCACTTCTCAAAATAAGCAGATTTTAGAAGCTTGACCAAACAAGCTATAAGTCCAAAATCACCATCCCGACCTAACAGAACCATCAAAACTCCGATCCGAGATTAAATATGCAAAAAGCCAAACTCGATTAACTGTTCCAACTTAAAGCTTCTAAAATGAGAATCATTCTTTCAAATCAATCCTGAACCACTCGAAAACCAAAACTGACGATACACGCAAGTCATAATACACCATATGAAGCTTCTCAAAGACCTCAAACCACCGAACAAAGTGCAAATGCTCAAAACGGCCGGTCGCGTTGTTACATCAATCATTTGTGTTTTATCCATAGTCTTGTATTATATTGCTTTCAAGATTCCTTGGCTTATATTGTGCTCTTCAGGATGATCTTTATGTTAAATTTGTGATTGATTTTGCATGCTACGGATTCTTCATGTGGATATATAGGGTATAATTATCGGCTTAGTCAATATCCCTTTCAAACCTGATTGGATTCAATTAGATTAATAGTCATAAATTTTCAACTGATAGCTCAATCATTTGCGCGTATCTGAAGTCTTGCATCAGTATTGCACTCAAGAGGAGTTGGCCTTTATCTTGTTCTTAAGAGTTAGCTTGTGTTAGTATTGTGATTGAATTTGCAAGAAGATGATGTATTTTGATGTATAATTCTTTATGCATGTTAGGTTGGAGGAGGTGGAATTGTAAGAGATCCCTTAGTCCATCAAGAGGTATGTATTTGCCCAACTTTTTCGTTTGCTTGCTTTTGATGTTTTATGACTGACTTAAAATCTGATTATTAAACTCATGTTTTAATGCTAATGATACTGGTATCTTGGCTACTTTGAGGGATGATGGGCTATAAAGCAACTGATTTTCTTTCCGTCTTTTATAAGCAGTCAATAAATATGAAAAGTCAAGAAATGCATTAGAAATTTCTTTTAGCAAGAACTGACATTTGAATTTGTGCTTTAATAACGGAGCACTTTATCAACCACAATTTAGACAAGTAGCTACATACCTTTTGAAAATTCTAAGAGTGCATTGCTTATTTTGTTAATTGAATGTTAAATATGTTAAGATCTCTCATTTTCTTGTTGATTTATTCTACTAATGTCTTGTCTTAACTTGATACATTTTTAAACAAATACTTGTTATAGTATGCCCTTTTCTCTATATTTATTACATAGCAATTTGATGTTATAACCATTTCCTGTGAAATTTTTGTACTTATTCTACGTATTTTCCTTCAGTTACCACAAGAAAATTAAACCTTGTATGAGTTACACTTGGGGAAAGCAGTAGATAAGCTCGGCACCAGTCTAGCATCCTAAAAATTGACACCTTTTGCATTTTGTTGAATTGAGCTTGACAGCTTATGGACAGAATGCATAACAGTTGCCACTTCTATGGCTAGGATTCAGTAGCCCCTTGTTTATTAATCTTTCTCCCTACTTGACTGCTCAACCAGAAACTAAGTGGATACCACTCACAAGGCTGAATAAGTAGGTCAATTGGAGGGAAGTAGTCCGTTGGACTGCTTTACTCAATTTTGTTCAGGGCTATAATGATTTTTGTTTTTTTATATAAGATAACTACTTTTGGTGAGGTCATAGTAAGGTAAAACAAATTAAAGTATATTGCAACTTAAAGTAAATCCAGTATCTTGATAATTCTCTTCTTTCCCTCCTTGACTCCCATAAATCTTTTGTGGATGCATAGATTGCTGGAGGATGGGAAGTAGGTCTCCAGACCTTTTATGTTTTCTCTAACTCTGATGGATGCCAACTGACTAAGGGTGAAAGAAAGTGAGAACTTAGATTTTGGATAAAGAGAATGGTGAGTTTTGTCAACTTGGGTAGGATGGGAAAGCCAGTGAAAAGCTAAGTAACCAGCAAAGAGGAGAGCTGTATATATAGAGAATTGCAGAATTGCATTTGATTGTACATCTAGCTGTTTGGGGTTATGGAACAGAATAGTGTCACGGGTATGTTGCTATTGCTTTTGATGTCTGCTTGTTTGTGCTCTGGATGTGCCATATGGCTGAACTCTTGGAGAAGTCAATTTTGGTTTGAGCTAGCAGTTCTCAATCTTTTTAGTAGGTTTGTCACTGTTTATGGGGTCAGAGCATTTTGTCATCAAAGGAGGTAGTAGAAATCTTGACTGTGTGAAGTACGACGAAGTTGATATTTGCACTGTAACCTCACATGATGGTAATCTGGAGATGCTTAATTCTATTGTTCCTTCCTTTTCCCACATCAAGTCATTTTTAGTGTTTGAAAATAACAGGAAAAAAGAAGTTAATGCTCCTAGTCACATATCTTGCTTATAACAGAAATTCCTTGTTCTTACTGTTATAGCTGTCACAATATATTTCCTTTATTGTTGTACAGGTGATTGAGAAGATCATAAATGGAGTTCAAAACCATGGGTTTCAATGCAAAGGTTGGATTGAATCACCTCTAAAAGGAGCTGAAGGAAATATAGAGTTTCTGGCTTGCTTCAGTCGACAGGCAGTCATTAGTGAAGAAGTCGAAAAACAATGAGCCTACCTAACATCTGGATCAAACATGTATTGTACTGGCATGCTGGATATGTTTCCGAAAACATTAAAGAGCACAGCTTCTAAAGGGCTTGGAGGTCAAATCAATTACATGGAAGCATAATTCTTAAGTAGGAATTCCAGATGAATGGCCTTCTGAGTTTTTGGTCCTTTCGTCACTATGTCTATAAACAGTGAACATCTCAAGTTTTGGCGACGTTCGGCATGCCACCAACACTTGCAGCAAGAGGATGGTGGTTGGACTTTTAGTTCACGTCGTGTAGCTTCTGGTTTACGACTGTGAATTTCGAGTCCAATTACCTGTTTATACAATAGTCAGCTGGCAATGGAATGTAATGCATGTTCATACTGCATTTCCAAAAGGCAAAACTATGGGTTACTGAAATGCCTTTGTAAGTGCTGCATAACTACTACTACTTTTTAAAATATTGGAATATGGGTTTTAATGGAGTGACATGGATAGTCATAGTTCATATAGCTGATCCATCTTTCTTGGGTTCGAGGCGTAGTAATTATTATAGTACTGAAATAAATACCTTTGCAAAGGTTATAATGGCTGCTCATCAATGCTTACTAGCACAATGGTATATTTTAGTAAAAATAGTACGGGATAGCCAGTTTTCGGACTGGTCATTCAAAAATAGCCAGCATTTGCAAAGTCATTAAAAAATTGCCACTATTTTGCTGCAACAAGGACTGGTCCAGCATAATATACTGGAGATCGGTGCACCTGTGCATGAACTTCCAGCATATTATGTTGGAATTCCAACCGCGAAAAGTTTCCGCATAATATACTGGAGATTGGAGCACCTGTGTATGAACTTGAACTTCCAGCATATTATACTGGAACTTCAGTATATTATGCTGGAGTATTTTTCGGATTTTGAACAGTGTTTTCGTTCAAATTTATCTTTACATGAAAAGTGACTAAATTTCGATTACTTTTGAAACTGTGGCTATTTTTGAATGACCACTTGTAAATATGACTATTTTTAAATTTCTCCCTACATTTTAGGCCCCATTACCTTTAACAGGGTTAAAATAATACAGGGTGTACTAGGGTTTCCTTGCATGATCCTCTTCCGTTTTCGGATTGGTTCTAGTTTAATGAGAAATTCGTGATCATAAGTATTGCTCGATGACTTTTATCTTGGGCCTGTTGATTTTCTCCAAGCAAATGACCTGTGCGGTATGTCAAAAATGAAAGCTTCCACGTTCGAAATGTACAGAATCGCAAAGCTTAACATGAACTCACTTTGGAAGTCAGATATTTTTATCTGATCTTGGTGTAAACATTCAAAAGTTGCTAAGTTTCAGCTTGGAATACAGATAGTAAGCATATCAAATTAAGTCAATCCAAATTGCCAGATGACAGAACCTTTTTGGCAGCCTAACTTAACATAGTATTAGAGCTTCTGAGTTCATTCTCACTTTGTCTCCCTCACTGTCAAAAAGAATTTCCACATAAGAATTAAATTCACATGTTAGAAGACATGTTGAAGATATAATTAAGTAAATAAATGTCCCTCTAACAACTAAAACTTTTAAATGAGATGATCAAACACTTAAACATAAACCATTGTACTGTAGTATGATGTTTTGAATCTGAATGCACTCTTTACCAACGTACATCTTAGGAGCCATGAAAGTGAGATAAGCCCCTAGAAGAAAACGTGACATGCTTAAACTCTAATAGTAGAAACTAAAATTGAAAACTTGATCGGCCTAGCCATGTTAAAGGTTGCATTTATGTAAAGAACCAATAGTTCCTAACATAAGACATAAGATAATAATTAATAAACACTACATAATAGCTTATATTTTGCATTTTGGCAGATGGATTCATTTTTGCTGCTGTGTTCAGAAGAACATTTACGTTGAGAAGATAACACTAAATCTATGTTACATAAGAAACATTTTCAGACTTGTTAGACGCATTTACAAACAATTTTAAGGGGATTTTAAGACCAAAGATCGGACATATAACTGAAAACCATGGGATCAGATATTTCTCAACTGCAACTCCACCTTGAGACACCACTGAAGGTTCATTACTGAAAAGTAGCTTCATCCAGTCACCAGTTCCACAAGGATGTAACGTGTACCATGGCCGATTCAGGTAGGGGTGCTCCTACAGATAATTCAGCATTTGAATTTAAGGTGGATCTAAACATGGTGCACATTCATTAACACACATTTTTATGACAAACTTCACGCTAATTGGTAAAAGGAGATACAATGAGAAAAGCAAACTGCACTACCAGGAAGACAAACAAAGCCTAAGATATACCTTAGCTTTAATTGTAGTTACTCCTCTTTTACTTTTTACTGGCGAAGAAGGGTTAGGGAAGAAACAAAGCAAAAAGAAGCAGAGACACTAATTGAGAAGCATGAAGATATGTCAAGGATCATCCAAGCAGATTTGACATCTACTAGAAAGGACTGGGGATATAATTTGAAGAGAATTTTGCCAGAACCTTGACATTCAGATAGTCTCAACCAGAAAATAAGGATTCCACTGAGAATACTTGAGAATTAGAAATTGGCAGCAGCTATGATTGTTGGCTGCAACTAAATGCCACCAAACATTCTTAAATACTACTAATAGCATACATATTATCGACCAGGGATTAGTAAATCATAGATATATGTTGCAGTTCTTCCCAGTTAGTTAAAATGCAGCAATCTGTTTCAATATTCCTCCGCTTCATGAGGAAAGACCCTGATATTTGAGGTCATGCATGATGGCAAGAGGCTAAAATGCATTGGCAAGTGAGATGGATATTGTTACTAGTCTGGTAATTAACATAGATGGATTATGTGGCGAGATACAACGGTGTGAGGCGTTGATAGGTAAGTGAGTTGAGAAAGAGGAAATATATCAGAATTGTTCCACAAAAGCTGGCTTGGTTGAGATAATTTTTTTTTTTTTTTCATAGAAGGTGAAGCCATGCAAACATACCAAGTGCTAATAGAAATCACAAGCCAAGAGAATGTATTCAGTTTTCAGAATATATAAAAAGCACAAAAAAATGAAGAAGCAATATACCTCCTGAGTTATAAAGGTCCATTTAGATATTGCTAATTCTTGTGTAGTATAGGCAGGAAACTCTTTTTCCAGGTCTTCTATTGCCAAGGGTTCTCCATCTATGGATGTAGCACAATCAGAACAATGTTTATGCTGGCATATAAGTTATCATACATTAGGCGAGAAAGAATAGCAGATCAGAAACCAAATCCAAACTAGCTTGCTGTTTGATTGAAGTGATTAATGAAACAAATAAACTGATGACAATGGATTACGACGTATACAACAAACAAGTAGTAGAGGCAGAATTTAAAACTACGCAGAGCATTGGATAGACCCGAGACTAGTATTCGTCATCATCTTTTCCACACGTATCAAGCTCATCATGATTTGTCTAACCAAAATTTTCCGCTTTACTTCAGAATTAAAATTTTATAAACTAGTGCCTCGGTGGCACAGTTATGAAGCTGCTATTGTTTTTAATTACTAGTGTTGCTGTAGCAATCAAGTCCTAAAGCATGGTTATAATATCACAAGACAGATGCTCCTACAAACTGTGTTGCAAGAATTCTCCAAAATACCGTCGTACCCGTGCAGATACTCCAAAAATAGCAAGAGAACTAATTTATTCAGTTTCTTTCCGGCATAAAATGGATACGGACAAACATACCACTGCAGTATGCACGGAAATATAGCACGGGAACCCTGAAAGAGGAACTGTAGACGACATGGAAGTCATAGTGATGTCTTTCTTGGCTGTGCTTTTGAACCTTAAAGGAGAAACATCACGTCAATTGTTAAACCATTTATTTTTCAACAAAAGATAGGAGGAAAACTGAAACAGTAAATTGCTATTTACTGTATCACAACTAAAGTATGTGGCATTGAAGATGGAGCATGGATATGTGTAAATGTTGACAACTACATATTGCACATGAAACTTTAAAAAGCAAGGAATCTATAACTGCATCAGACACAAAGTCACTGATGCATGCCCCCACCCTTCCAAAAGTAAGACTGAAGGCAACAGCTACATACTTAGCAAGTGAAATTTTAGTTCTAAAAAGAGGAGCAACTATTGACAAGACCACCAACATCTACCAAATTAGCACCCGTATCAAATTGAAAGTTTTTTTTTTTTTTTTGATAAGGCCAATTGAAAGCTTTATAAAGATGCTAAGGATAAGAATACATGAATTCATGAATCTTAGTTGCCTGATTCCAAGAAATTAACGCGTGAACTAAGAGATTGGACAATTAGTTGTGTTCTACTGAAGACTCAAATGTTAATCCCAAAGGAAGCACAAAACTCTGGAAGTTGAGTTTGCTATAATTCAGCAGTTCAAACAAGAAAAAGTCCCTGTTAAAATCTCCAACACGTGAGAAAAAGATAAATATTTTGAAACTCGAGCACTCCATAAAATAATTTTTTTTTCCAAGTAAACGGAATTAATTCAAGAAATAAAATGTGCAACATACCAATATAGCAGTATCCGTATATACATCTTCATTAGCGCAACTCAAATCTTCTATTCCAGCAAGACCACAATGATTTCGATCTTCCTATAAGAAAGACAAACAAATCAGCAAAGTCTTACAGGTACATAACATTTTATGCTAAATTTTCTCAATAATATAGCTCCACTGAAGTTCCAAGGACAGACCTCAGTGGATCCTGGAAGAACCATATTCTCCAATGATAAATATCCTTCTACCTGCCCAATTGCAGAATACGAGTAGTATTAATATATATATATATAACACGCCGAAAGCATATATAAAGCAATTGCACAAAGACAAACCTTGCTAGCAGCAAACAGTGGTCCCTTTGGACAGTTGATCCATGACCAGTGAGGAAACCCTAGATCTAAATTGTTCCATTGCTCAGCAAAATTAGAAGCAGCAACGTAAAAATCAGTAGATGTAATGGTGCCATCCCAAGTGGAGATGTTAATTATGGCCTTATCTGATGACATTTCTGCCCAAATGGACAAAAATACATATAATTAAAGACTCGGGCAGCAGTAAAAAAAGATATAATGAAGCATAAAAAAAACAATTTGTTATAAAATAAAAGCGATTTAGTAAAACATAAACAAGAAATATAAGCAATTTAGTAAAACATGAACAAGAAATGGAGATAGAAAGAAGGAAGAGATTTTCTTCTTCAATTGTGTGTATTTTCCTATCTATTACAAGATCTTTATATAGGCATAAAAAGTGAAGAAAATATGCCATTGAACATACAAAATATGTCATTGAATATGTCATTAAGCATTTGAGATGAAGATCATGGAAGAAGAGTAAACATCCACCACAATGTGATATTTATCATAACATTCCCCCTTGGATGTCCAAAGATAATGTATCTCGTTAAAACCTTACTAGGAAAAAACCCTACGGGAAAAAAAATCCTAGCGAAGGAAAAAGAGTACACATGTTTAGAAATACGCCTTTTGGTTGCCTCATTAAAAACCTTGCAAGGAAAACCCAGTGGGACAAAACCTTGTAAGGGAAAAAGAGTACAACGTGTATTAACTCCTCCTGATAAAAGCATCAATTCACATCCTTGATCATTCACATCCCAATCTTGTACACTAGTTTCTTGAAGGTTGACGTCGGTAGAGATTTGGTGAACAAATCAGCCATATTATCACTTGAAAGAATCTGTTGCACATTGATATCACCATTCTTTTGAATATCATGTATGGAAAATAGCTTTGGTGAAATGCGATTTGTCCTAACTCCTTTTTATGAATCCTCCCTTTAATTGGGCTATTCATGATGTGTTGTCTTCATACAAAATTGTGGGTAGTTTGTAACACTTCAAATCATTTTTGGCTCGAATAAGATGTATTATAGACCTCAGCCATACACATTCTCGACTTTCTTCATGAATAACAATTATCTCAGCATGATTAGATGAAGTAGCCACGATTGATTGCTTAGTCTATCGCTAAGATATGACAATACCTCCACATATAAATACATAGCATGTTTGAGATCAAGCCTTATGTGTGTCATATAAATACCCCGCATCGGCATAACCAACATGATCGGAATTGCAATCATTGCCATAAAATAAAGCCCACATCGGTAGTCCTTTTTCAGTGAACGCAATATGTGTTTGATTTCATTCCAATGTCTCCTTGTAGGAGCAGACCTATATCTTGCTAAGACATTAACTGAAAAAGTTGTGTCACGCCTTGTAGTGTTAGCAAGTTATATTAGTGCATCAATTGCACTAAGATATGGTACTTCAGGATCAAGAAGTTCTTCATTATTTTCATGAGGTCGGAATGAACCTTTATTTATATCAAGTGATCATACAACCATCGGGGTACTCAATGTATGTACTTTATCCATATAGAACCGCTTTAAAATATTTTCAGTGTATGTTGATTGATGGACAAAAATTTCATCTTTCATATACTCAATTTGTAGACCAAGATGAAATTTTATCTTTCTAAGATCTTTCATTTTAAATTTTTTCTTTAAACAGTATACTGCTTTATGAAGCTCCCCGAGAGTTCTAATGATATTTGAATTGGCACACCTCCTTTTTCACCTACACCCCGCAAAGGGGCGTAAAAGAGAGTTTTTCCAATTAAAGGACAATCGAAACGGGATTTATTATTTAATTCAGAGTCGCCACTTGGGAGATTTATGGTGTCCCAAGTCACCGGTTGAATCCCGAATCGAGGAAAAGATTGACTCTGTTTAACAGTCCGCGAACCAGAAATCCGGATAAGGAATTATGTTAACCCGGGAGAAGGTGTTAGGCATTCCCGAGTTCCGTGGTTCTAGCACGGTCGCTCAACTGTCATATTCGACTTATTTATCTGATTTCAATACATGTTGAACCTATGTGCAAATTTTAACTTTTTACCGCTTTCATTATTATTATTTTTTAACGAGGATTGCAGCGTCGTGGAAACACATCTTGAACCACGTCACATCAATGCACCCATGGTTATTGACACATTTTGACTCCGTGGAGATTTGGATTTGGGTCACATAAATGTGCACCCGAGTTTAAAATAGTAAATTATTAAAGGCGCGCCTAAAGCGACTAGCGTATCATTATTTTGGGTAAGGCCGTGAAANCACAGGACCTGGGCCATCTTATTCAAGTGCGGAGGCCCAATCCGCCTAAATATGGGCTATCGATCTCTTTTCGACAAAACACATCACTCTTCCGATTTTAAACGAACTAAACACTTAATGAAACTTACTTAAGTTATTCTACACATATTCAACAATTTTCCACGCAGAAATGTGAAGTGATTATATCTAATTAAGTATATTACTACAGGTTTTATAAGAGCAATAGTTAGAAAGAGGTAATTTAGATGTCTATTCCTAATCCTAAACTCAAGCCATTGATGTTACAATTAGATTGCTGTATTAATTAAATAGTCTATTAGGCCGGAATCTAACGGACATGCATTTGAAATACACTACCTAATAATCAAGCTAAAGCAAACCAAATATTATTGACTACAGCTATACATTCGAAATAGACAAGAGCAGATACATGATATAAAGTTCATTCGAAAGTTCACAAATTAAATCATTACAAGAACTGTCCAGTTATACATCCCGCACGCATTTACATGATATTAGTGAGTGAGATATCCTAATATACAAATCAGTAGAAAGCTAGATCAAACTTAAAGTTTCAAATCTTCATGTATATTCATGCTTATGTTTTCAGCTTACAAATGACCAGGGTTACAGCCGTGTACCTGGAAATGGCAATATAATGAGAAGAGAAAGAGGTCAGCAACAGACTAGTAGCAGTCAATACAACAGCAATACACCAGCAGCTGTGACTCAATCAATGCCCCAGAAAAACCCAGAGAGGTTGTAAACCAACAACAACATCAAACCAAAATCAGGAAAAGAACTTCCAGCAATGCAGCAGCAAGTTAAACCCAAAACTCAGACCAAAACCAATCAACCTCAGACCATGGGATGCAGTTCTTTGAAACAGAATCTAGTTCCGGATTCACACTTAACTAAACAGATACAGAACAAAATCTCAAACTACTCAAAATACTCCAGATTTGAAAGTGAACTGAAGGTTTGCTCAAAGGGTTGATGAAACAGTAACCTAACACTCTAGATTCAGATTCAACACTCTTAGAATTGAATCCTTACAAGCTTTCTGAGCTGTTTCTTTTAACTGACTAAAAAACCTAACCTCAAGATGCTCTCAAATAGTGCTCTCATAAATTGATTAAAGATTCACCAACATGGATTTTCCGGACTCTCCTTTCCAACTGCCTAAAGAAACTGTTTTCAAGTTTTCAACAACTGCCTCCTATTCTTTTTTCTTTCCTTTCTCCTCCCTCCTTAGATTGCCCAAAAGAAAAACCCAGACCAAAAAAGGATCCCTCTCTGTCTAAAGCCCCTCTCATTTATAGCCAAACTTTTTTTAACTTTTTCAGCTCTTAGGAGTATTAAGCTCATTAAGAAAGTATTTCTGCCCATGATATTCCTCCTCCACTACTACATGTTTTGTTCTCTTTTTAATTCACTTGTTCCCCACTACCCTTGTCTTTTTTTTATTTAAGTTCAAATAGGTATGGGCACCTATTTCTTAATCCACTTCCTTTAAACCTTCCCCTACCATTATGTCTTATTCCCCATTAGCACTAAACAAATACATTAGTTTAATGTTAATTAGTACTTACTGGACAGAACACTTAAACTGGCCATTTTTAAACTTTTCAATTCCCAAATTACCCCCATAACCCCTGTGTATTATCCTACCTCAACCCCTTTCAATCTGTACCAAATCCATCAGGTATAACCAATTCAACTTATCTAATTCAATCAGTAATTCAAACTAGAACTCAGGTCAGATCAAATAGCATAAAAATAAAGACCAATGAATCCAAACAAAACCATATTGAACTACGAAGGTCAAATTTCAGACCATGATTGACACCGATACGCGAGAATGACTAACTACATTCTCAATTCTAAATTAAACTTAGACCAAAATGAATGATCACTGTAAACGCACTGAATCGACAAACAAACTGAACTCATATGCAAAAATAATGAACAACATGAAAAAGGTCTGAGGGAGAAGAGACAAAATAACGGACCTAATTTCGGCAAACGAAGAATTGATTGAACTACTCAAACACACATTGAAATATTTAATCTAACCAGAATCAGAAAAAGAAGCAAATATATACTGGATTAACTTAAACTGAAAACCTAAAGAAGCGACTAATTACACAGACAAACAAACACATAGAAAAAAGGAAAAGAAGAAGCTAAGAAGAACTCACTGTTCTTTTCTCGGATCTCACCAATATGCCGTTTCGAACTTGAGTTCCAGTTAGTATTATACGTCTATTTCATCAGAAATAGGCTTATAATACTAACTAGAACCTGTTCGACCCTGACAGCTTCAAAACAGTCTCGATCTGTCGAACCCTAGATCCGGCATTTGACGAGTTTTACTCAGATTCGAGCCAATCTGGTTAGGGATTAGCGACGAGTAGGTCAAGGGGATTATTGGGTGTGATTTTGGGGTTAAGCGGACAAGCTAGGGTTTGGGACGGGGGTCTTCGATCGAAGATTCAAGAAGTTGTAGTATGATTCGAGGTTAATGGAGTATGGAATCGTGTTGAGGGTGGTTAGGAGGTTCAGGGGTGTTATTTTCATGGCCATCGGGGCCGGCGCCACCAGGTTTACGGTGAAGGGATGAGGTGGCGGCTATTAGGGTTCCTCATCTCTGAAAGAGACGAGGCTTGGGAGAGAATGAGATGGGGGGCTTGGTTTGAACCGGGTAACGGGTCGGGCCAGGGAATGGGTAAGGGAGACGGCTTTTGAGCCGTTGGATCACGCAGGACCAACGGCTGTGATTAATTGCCGTTGAAATGACGTCGTTCGAACGTCTGTGAGATTTGGACCGGTCTGGGCATCTGTTTGGGCCTGATTTCTGGTCAAAATATAACGGTCCAGTTCT